CACAGAGCAAGAACAAACAAGTGATGTTTACAGAAAAATAACTAAGATAGTGTAACACAACAGAGGCAGTTACCATTAGAGTAAGAAGAAGCACGTATCCATTGTCTTAGGTCAAAAGAAGTGATTAGGCTCAGAAGTTTAGAAGTAGCAGGAGTGTTAAGGTTAACAGGGATGTTTAAGTCACCGAGAATAATTGTGGGAATTTCAGAAGAGAGAAAGTAAGGTAGCCAGGCAGAGAAGTCATCAAGGAAGCGTGATACCGGTCCAAGAAGCTGATGGATCACAGAAATTCTTAAAGAAACTGGAGAGAATAGACTAATACAGTGAGCTTCAAATGAGGACAGGGACAGAGAGGGAGGTGAATGAAGGACCTGAAAGGTGCTTTAAAGGGATAGGAGAATTCCAAATCCACCTCCCTTACATGCACTATAGGCCTGGGAGAGTGAGTCCAGAGACCACCATGGGAGAGGGCAGCAGGAGAAGGAAAGTCAGATTAATGAAGCCAGGTTTTCGTAATTGCAAGTAGGTTAAAGGAGTTTGTAATAAAAAGGTCATGGACAAAGGTGAGTTTGTTGCAGACAGAGTGGACATTGCAAAGGGCACAGGAAAAGGGGAGGCTGGTTCTAGGAAGAGGAGGAATAGTAACCAGATTGTGTGGATTGCGGCCGCTGTTAGAGGATAAGGGGTGCCTGGTGTATTGGTCAACGGAAAGAGATGGTGGCCTAGGTTTTGGGGAAATGTCTCCAGATGTTAGGAGGAGCAGAAGGGTGAGAGAGGTAATATGGGAGTATGACTTATATGAAGGGAGAGGTCCTAGTGTCCTGGAGGTTTTATTAGTATGTATGTGGGTTCAGAATTAGCAGGAGTTGATGAGTGCAGTAATAAGGGGAAGGCAGGAGTGAGGGTGATGTATATAATCTGTGGGGTGGAGAAGAGGGGTGAAGTAAAGAGTTTGAGAGGAGAGGATACAACTGTGAGAAGTAGGAGTAGGGAGTGCTTTTTACAGAGTGGTGAGATTAAGAAGCAGATTGGGTAAGAGATGAAAAAGCTTAATGAGGAAACAGGTCACCTGTAGTCTGTTTTAGTATTTGGAGTTGTCCGCTGTGGCTTCTCGCTTTGTGCATTCGCTGAAGTGCCATGCTCAATACTTAATCCAAAATTAATACTTTATCCAAGATGATAATTGCTAATGCTATCCCTGCCTGTGCCTCCCCCAAGGAAGGCCTAAATGTATACTGAGTTGGGTGGGGGTATTGCCAATTAATCAGGAATGCATAGGAGAGACCTATGGCTAGCAGGACAAACTTCTCATACCAAAGGAGGGACTACAAGAGACGAGAGCAGGAGGGCAGAGTTTTAAAGGTTAAGATCAGCTCATTAATTTTGGTTAGGCAATAAGAGCAAAATAAACATCACAGTAATAGGAACAGAGCTAAAGATTTTGGAAGCCACAAATATTACCAATAAGAACATTGATAGTAATGAACAGCTTCAGTTAGAAGTGGATTTTGAAAGCAGTATAGATTACCATATAGTACAGCAGCGTAAACTAGAAAAGCTACAATTTCTAGGGAAATTGTGTGAAGTGTTCTTGCCTCCACCAGTAGTCTACAACTGGAGTGGGCAGAGTAACTGGGTGGAGTGGCTTGTCACTCTGCTGCCTGCTCACACACCTGGGTTCCTATGGCAACTCACTTTACAGCAAGGGCAGAGAAAAACAAACTGCTCCAACTTGCTCACTTCACTGGCGGTTGCCATCTTCAAACGGTTGTAGTATAAAAATTATATATCCTACACTGAAGAGCTTTATATTGTGAGAATCACAAGACCCAGACCTACATTTTGATGCATAGAATGTCTCTGAAATATTAAAAATGAAGGCACAGTCGCAGTTTAGAAATTATCCTTCAAATTTGAGGTGGCTAGAGTGGAGTTTCAATGAATGTCAATGGGAGGCGTGAGTTGCAAACAAATGGTCATATTGTGAAAACTATCAGGACTATGGCTTAACCGTGGACATTTTTAGTGGCAGCAGGGATATCTGAACGTTTTGTTATAAGATTTGTGTAGGTGGGCTTGAAAATGAGTGAGTGATGGCAGTTCAGAAATTATGTCCTGATTTTTCAGCTCCCACTCTAGTTTTGAACATTCCGCCATTCATTCCTATGGGACCAATTTCACCACAAAAACAGCGATATTTTGTGAATCATTCGGCGAAACGTTCCACAAAGTAATAGCACGCCAATCAGGAACAATCCGCACGTTTCGGTATATTACTGTCTATGTAGTGTAAAAACTGTGGGAGGAGTTAGGGTGGTAAATTTGGCTATAATAAGAATATATATGTGAGATAACAGTAAGTGGTCTTGCCATGCAAGAACACTTAGTCATAGATGGCATGAGAGATAGTACAGATGAATATTGCTCACAGACATTTACCATATAGCAAAGCAGTTTCAATTAGCAGTCATACATGGCATGGGAGATAGTACAGAGTTAGTACAGATGGTGATATGGGGATAGTACAGATGCTGAAGTAGCAACTTCACTTTCCATTGTGGTTTGGCAGACTACATTCACTGAAAATGAAAATCCTCCCATGCCTGTTATATTTATTTCACACTTTACCGGTGGCACTTGTTTGATCTGATTTGTTGGCTTTTCAAATAAAATTGATAGTTTGTCTGGGGAGATAAGAGGTCTAGGGTGGACAAGTTTACTCTATTTGCTCCGGATTTGCTTAAATACTTTTATGCTGCTCCATTTGTCCAGTTAATTAAATTTCACTCTTATAAACCCCATCCATTATCTGTGGCAATGGATTCCTGTTTAACTGCAAAGGAATGGCCTCCAATCTTATGTCCTTCCCTTTCCCTTACCCTGGGTATTTGGGATAGGCTTTGCAAGCCTTATAAATGTATTTATGTCCCTCCACAGTCCACTAGCCCCTATACTCTGTAATAAAGAGTTCACCCCGGTCTCACTCCCAATACATTTGATTGGTGGACCAATAAGGGTCTTTTACGTATAGCTGATCTCTGTGATCATAGAGGAATTCTGTTGAGACAAACTCTAATAGAGACGTACCATATGCCAGACTCTGAATGTTATAGATATGCTCAGATATCGCATTTTGTAAAAGCTTTGTCTCATAGATCCGACTTGCATCCATGTCCCCTGTGGAACATTTATGTCACAGAATTGATAAAATTTGTGGTCATATCTCAGCAATTTATGCTATTTTTAACTGATGCTACGGGTAAATTGGGCTACATGCAGAAATAAGAAATAGATCTCCAGGAAACATTTGTGCTTGACGAATGGCATTCATTAGCCCATGGGGCCTTCGGGTCTACCGTGAATACTTCCATATTTGAAGCCTATTATAAAGTGCTACCTATGTGGTATATGGTACCATCTAGATTGGTCACTTATGTCCCAGATGTGTCTCCCTTATGCTTCAGAGGTTGTGGCCAGGAAGGTACAGCATACCACATATAGTGGAGATGTCTCAAAGTGAGGTGCTTTAGGACTAGAGTGTATAACTTCATATACACCCTTACCCAAGTAAACCTGACCAAGTTTCCAAAGCATGCCTTGTTGGGGTGCAAGATGGAGGAAGCCTCCAAACATTAAAGAAGGCTTGTTGCCTTCATATTTTGTCTCTGCAAAAATTACTATTGCCAGAAACTGAAAGTCGGCTATCATACCTTTTTGACCAGCTCATACACAAACTTTCCTGGACAATGATAAACAAGCGGTTGTCAGAAATCCTGAATAATAGAATGAAAGGTTTAGAAAAGGTGTGGGACCAGTGGGTTAAGTACTTAATGAATGACCGTCGGGTTTTGCCCAATCAATATGTTCTAAATTAGGATTGAGCAAGTGTGTGCAGTCCCTAATCTATCCCCCTTCCTTTTTCCTTTTCATTACTTCTTTTTTCTAGGCACTCTTGCCTTTTCTTCTTTCATAAAGCTGTATTAAAACAAACTCGGAAACAATGTTTTGCTAAAGCACAATTTATGGCATGTTCCCTAAATTTAGGGAAGGTAGCCTGACGTGATTGGGCTGTTTGGCGTATATTGCAACTACTCTGTTATTTCCTATTTTGTTTATAAGGTTATATATATTATAATTTTATGGACTGTTTTACCTCATTGTTGGGTACTTGCCCTAAGGTATAGGTAACCTGGTTTTTACCAGGCTTAAGATGGTGTTGAGTAACAACCATGTTGCGGAGGCTCACCTTGTGCCCCACAGGTATTACTGATGCCCAGATAACCAGTGGGACATGTCGTTTTTTTTTTTTTTTTTGATCAGATAAGCAAACATTTTATTTGCCATTATGCCAACTGTCTGTTTTATGTGGCGTGTGAAGTGTTATGTTGTAACCATTTTACACCGTTTTATTACGGAACAAAATTTAAAAAAAATATTAGAAACGAAAAAGAAAATGTCTGTATTGTTTTACTATTGCAGTTTGGATAACTACCATATTTAGTACACACATGCCTTATGTCCATTTTAACCAAGCTTTCTTCATAAATTATTATTTGCTAAATCAATTTCAGGGCTAGAAGATGAACTTGAAGACATAATGGTTATTGACAATAAATTGCATTAAAATAGTAGGCCCTTTATAAGTAGTTGTAAAATTCTTATGAACAAAATAAATATCAAGGTTTCACCATATATAACTGATGTTTGATCTTCCCCCCCCCCCCCCCCCCGTGTATGTGGCTGTAAAAATGCATAATCTGTAGATGCCAGCGGATCTCATGCATGCCAGTAAGATGTAATAGCTAGCAGCTCCGACACATGGAGTAGAGATGACGCATGCATTATCTTGAAATCAGGTTACCTGTAAAAGTAATTCATAACAGCATTTATTTGTCTGAGCTCAATATGTTCCAGTCAGCAGTCTGCCAAGGCACTATTCAGTCATTTTATCTATCAAGTAGTGAATCTGAGCTGACACTTCTCTCTCTCATCTCCTCAGGGCCCGTTTGTGCATGTTGCCAGTATGTGCGCTGCTCTGCTCAGCAAGTTCATGTCGCTGTTTGGTGGAATATATGAAGTGAGTACAGAAGGTGATGTCCCCTGGATATTTATTCGGAATCTCACAGATAAAGGCAGGCTTTAGTGCAGATAGGCTTTTTAACTGCAAATAATTAAGCAAAGTTAACTGGTGTGATAAATATACTTTGTATTTTCCTTTTAAGACTGTATCTCACTGTTTGGGTTCTTACAGCAGAACTGTATGCTTTTCGCTCACAGCAAGAAAAAAACAAATCTTTGCCTTCAAAACAGCATCAATTCTTCCAGTTATACTTTACAACCTCTTCCCACACAACCCTGGGCAGTGGTTGTGGGGGCCTGCGAGGAGGGGCTTATTGAAATCTGAAAGCCCCCTTTAACAGGGGGGCCTCCAGATCCCACCCCCCTCCCCATGTGAATGAGTATGGGTACATTGTACACCTCATTCACTAAAAAAAGTGTGATCAATAAATTAAAACCGTTTTTGGCAAGTTCATGATTTAAAAAAAAAAAAAAAAATGTCCCCAGAAATAAATCCAGCATCAATCACAATGAACGCCACAAACCCCCGACCCCCATTCCCCCCATAAAGAAGATTCCACCCGATGCTAGCTCCTGTCATCTGACAGCTCCACCCACTAAATAACTTAAGAGGCGAGGCCCCCATCGATTAAGTCAGTGGGGTCATTGGGTGGCCTCGACCTTTAGTTTATTTGGTGGCAGAGCTGTTGACAGTGGGAGGCAGCGTCGGGTACAGATCTCACTTGTCGTTTTTTTTTTTTCTTTCCTCGGGTCGATGGCGTTCATCCTGATTGACGCTGGATTTACTTTGTGGGACACTGTTTTCATATTTTATTTTTTTTTTAAATAAAGGACTTGGTAAAAACGTGTTTTGTTTTTTTTTTATACCTTTTTTGGTATTAAAAAAAATACTCGTTCCCAAGGGGGGAATTGGGAGCTGGGGCCCTCTTTGTTAAAAGGGGAATTCCAGATACAGATAAGCCCCCAGCCCATAGACCCCCCACTACCACTGTCCAGGGTTGTGGGGAATGGGCCCTTGTCACCACCAACATGGGGACAAGGTGCTTTTGGGGGACATAGCTGTTGAAACCTAGGTTTTGAAGGACAGGGGGAACCTCTGACTTAAATTCCCACCTTACTCAGATCCAGAACAGCCAATTGGCGAAAATATTTGCTACCGTATCTGGAATCTTTTTTTCGCCTGGTGCTAGCACAGCCTTTTCAACTCCAGAGATTACTCTGTACCTTACATTCTGGCCTTTCTACAGTTGGAACGTGACTAATAATGGGCCTCAAAAGGAGGAGGGGGGGGGGGGTTGGCCATCACCCTGGAGGCTGGGGCCTCATTTTTAGAGTATTATCAGTGACTCATACAGAGGGAAGAGAGATCAGAGAGAAATTACACTCTGTGTTTTGCTCATTCTTCCTGTCAGAGGCTTAAAACCACTTTAAGAACTCTTTTTAAAAGACAGGTTGTGGTCTTCTCTTTCTATTCCAGAAAACTTTGGCTCCACTTTCCCTTGTTAGAACCTTAATTTAAGGTGTCTTATGGACTAAACCCCCATTACAGCACCCTGTTTTTCCTTGGAACCTCAATTTGGTTCTCTCTGTCCTGCAGAAACCATCCTTTGAACCCATTAGGGAATGCCCTGTGGGTGGCCTCTTCTGCAAATTTGTCTTCTTGGTTACTATCACAGCTGTCATATGTGTTTCTGAGTTAGCAGCCTTTCCTGATTCTTCACAAGGATAAAGTGGTCTTGCTTTCTTCCTTTCTTCCTGTTCCAAAGCACTTCAAAGAATTTGCTCTCCATTATCTGGATGCGGTCAGGGTCTATCTTACGTTCATGGCTTCTGTCTGAAAAATGTACTCTCTATTGCTAATAGGGTCTCATGAAGGACATCCTGCTTTTAAGTCCACTATTACTAGGTGGATAAGACAATTCTTTGAAAGGGCTTATGCTCTCAAAGATAAGGTACCCTTCAGTTCCTTTTATGTGCTCACTCCACCAAACCGGTTGGAATTTCCTTGGCTTTCTGATATCACACACCTGTTGCCCAGCTTTTAAGGCCACCGCCTGATCTTTGGTTTATACTTTGTTTTAACAGGTGTATTTTCGCTTGCAGATGCATCGTTTGGTCACAAGGTTCTTTCAGGTGATATTTGTTTTGTTGGGCCTGTTGATACTGTTCTGTTTGCCTTGTTGCTGACCCTACTGTTTCACTGCTTGAGGACACCCCATTGTCTGAGTATCCAGCCTGTGTCCTTTTACTGTACAATTGAGATGTAGGAAATTTGACTTGCCTGTAAATTCCATATCTTGGAGTACAGGACACAGGCCACTCTCCCCTCTGTTCCTGTGTTAAGCTGCATTTCTTGCTAAATTACTGAGGACTTGTGGAGTGAAGTTATAGAAGTACATCCAGGAGGTGTGCCTAGCAAAGCTTTTGTCAGTGTCCAATCACCTGAAGGTAGAGGCCTATAACTAGGCTGGCCATACACGGGTCGATGTTCAGCAGGGACCAGCCAAATTTCAAACCATGTACTGTATGGCCACTGTGGTTGTAGAGAAGTCCATCTACCAATTGACTTCTCTTCAAACAGCCTGTTGGAAAATTTCTGCACGATCAGTGCTGCAGGCTATAGACTACAGCACTGAACATTCAAAGTCTGGTCAGTTTTTTTTTTTTTTCTTTTTTGTTCAACCCACTGGTTGAACAAAAAGAACTGACTCATCTATGGTCAACTTTAAGGTCTATAAATATCCAGCTTGTGTCTTGTACTGCTCTGCCAGATACAGTATTTACAGGTGAATCAAATTCCTATTTTCTCTTTAGAGAAGGCCCTTCTGAAGAAGTTGGTCCTTCCATCCCTAGGTTGAAGAAAGCAACTGTGATACCAGCAGAAGAAATTCCTTCTTTTACAGATTCTGCAGATTGCAGCACAGAATCTGTTGTCTGCTCTATATTTACCATTGCAGGGTTGGCGGTGTGACCTTGGTTGGCCAGAGCTCTGGTGTCTCAAACGCTTACCGAATGGCCCAAGCTTCTGTAGCTATGTTTCAAGGGGCCAAAGGGATTCCAGTCTTTCTGGTAGCTCCCTGGTGATTGCTTCTTTGAGAAGACCTCCTGCCTTTAGGGTCCGTTCTACTACCCTGCTTTACTGTCTCTGGCTTTGACAGCATGGCTATTAAAAGCCAGGTTTTGTGGGACAGGGATTATTGAGTTTGGGAATTCCCACAATTTTGGAGGCTTGCAAGTTTACCTCTTGGAAGATATATCATCACACCTGGAAATTCTTCAATGGGGCATTGAATAAAAGTTTGCCTTGTGTACCATTAAGGGTCAGGTTTTTGCCCTCACTGTTATTTTTTAGCATCCCTTGGCTGCGCACTCCCTGCTTTGCACCTTTGTTCAAGGAGTTTTTCATCTGGCTCCCCTCTGTGCTTTCCGCATTACCACCATGGGTCTTGAATTTGGTTCTTGAGAAGTTTCCCTTTGTGAGTACTCAGGATATTCTCCTGCTTACATTTTCTCAAAATGTGCCTTCTCGGTTGCCATCACATCCATGAGGTGGGTGTCAGAGCTGGTGCCCTTACCATATAAGTCTCCGTATTTGGTTCTTGGTTCTATATAAGGATAAGTTGGTTCTCTGAATGTGCCCCTTCTTTGTTTTGAAAGGTGGTGGTGTCAGATTTCCAGCTTACTGAAGACATTGTCCTGTCTTCCTTGTGTCCATGGTCATTGCATCCTAAGGAGGTTGCATTGCAGTCCTTGGATGTGGTTTAAGCGGTTCATGTGTACCTGTCTACTACGGCCTCCTGCAGGAAGTCAGATTCTCTTTTTATGCTCATGGACAACCCAAGGAAAGGTCTGGCAGCCTCCTCTGCCACTATTTCCCATTGGATCTGGCAGACGCTTGTTCCAAGTGCGTGCTATTAAGGGGCAGACTCCTTCCTTCTCAATTACAGAACACTCTACCTGGGATTTCTGTGTTTCAGGTTTGCAATGTGGCTACCTTATTGTCTTTGCACACTTTTACAACATTTTACAAAGTTGATGTGTTTGCATCTTTGGATGCTTGTTTAGGCTGCAAGGTTTTGCAGGCTGCTGTTTTAAGGTTCCCGGTTTGCCCCTGTAGGGTTTGTTTGGGTAGTTGGCATGTTTGCCTGGTTGCTCCAGTTGTTTTTTTGTTTACCCACCCCTCATTGAGACACTGCTTTGAGACATCTCTATGGTAAAGATTCAGAAGAGCTGTGTCTGTCAAACATGAGAAACTGGGAATTTTAGTTACTGTAAAATTCCTTTCTCTGAGTTTACTGATAGACACAGCACCCATCCCGCTATTGGAGTTGACATTTCTGACTCTGCTTTGTTACGAACTGGATTGCCTATAGCAGAGAGGGAGTTTTATACCAGAGGGGACTGCCCATAGGCAATGCTGTGTTTTGTTTATTTTTCTGTCTAGTGTGTCCTATTCCCGTAGATGGTGATATAAAACCTCTTGGTCAAGATTCAGAAGAGCTGTATCTGGCATTAAACTCAGAGAAGGGGATTTTACAGTGAGTAACAAAACAATCCTGTTATTTCCCTTTTAAATGCTGACACAGATATGAAAACATGAGCTATGAATTTAGCTTATTTTGGATGGAATCCTTGTCTGACATATCCAGCAGACCACTCACCATGGTTTTAAAGCTGATGATTATTCAGTAAGTGGGTCTTTCTACATTGGGGCCTGTTCATACCCTAAAATGTGCTCCTTACATCTTTCAGTGTGTTTCAGGTTTGGTGCAATGTACAGTATGCACATTGTTTATTTTAGGCATGTTTTAAGTACATTACCATTGGAGTCTACCTAATATATGTTTTACTTGAAGCCAGATCAAAGAATCTGCAAGCTGTACATTTTTCCATCATACCACACCTGTAACGTTCCTAAGATGTGAAGGATGCCTGTCTTGAGCTGGGCCTATCCTCCTACATGGCACAAACACCACTGATGTGCAATTACTTGTGAAAGTTTATCAGAACTCTGCTTCAGCAGTCTGAGTACTGTGAATTTGAATGTCTAGGAAAAGCTTTCACATTATTTGTCTTAGCTCTGTTATTAAGCAACCCTAGCATGATTAAGTATGTCCCTGATTTTACTTTGGGACTGCAGTTTGTCAGTTCAATTTATTTTGTATTTTTGTACAGCTATTTTATGTTAGACAGCATGTGGTATTGTGAGTAGTATATGGTATGCTACAACCAGCCCATACTTAGTTTGGCTCTATGTTGCTCAATCTGCTGCAGTATTCTGCTTGGCAGAGGTAGGTCTGATTCTGTGCACTAGGCTGCATATTTATGGCACTCATACCAATATTTCTTATTCATTAGAATGAGTCTCGTAACATTGAGATGTTGGCAGCAGCCTGCGCTGTTGGAGTTGGATGCTGCTTTGCTGCTCCTATTGGAGGTAAGAGGATTGTGTGGGAAGTAGGGACAAGAGGAATATTAAGCTATGTGAAGGATTCTTGAAGTGTGTGAGTGGTGGGTGTGTATAAACTGTGAGATGTGTATGATCAGGAGGTTGTGTGGGAGGGCTGCTTGAAATACATGTGTGGGAGCCATCAGTTAAAGTTATGTAATCATCAGTGTAACAAACCAATATATCAGGATTATGCTGTTCATTTACTCTGCATTTATAGTCTGTTAATTGTTGAAGCATAGGCTTCTTAATTGCAGAGCTCTAGGCTAAAAGTAAAATGGGGCCTAATTCTTTTTGTGCCCCAGGCAGAAAAAATAAAAGCAGCATCTACATTCATTTGTACATATATTTTTAGCATTATTTAAAAAAGTCTTCTTACTTTCCATAGCAAATTTCAAAGTAACCTACAATCTGGAATGTGAGTAGAAGGGGCTTTTCTTTTATGTGGAAAGAGTTTGCACAAGGGTGTTTTGAGGTGGGACGGATGTCCTAGGAATCTGAATACTGGTGTTTTGAAGCATATACATTTTCATGTCTATATACTAGCAAAGCATATATTATAACCATCAGTGCTCACACTGAGCAATTTCAAACACAAGATTCTCAATTTAGCATAATACTTCCTGCATGACTATCTGAGCTCTTTCTATGAAAGTTGCCTGCTTCTAGCTCAGTTGGTTATACATACAGGTTATTAACATTCTGTTTTTCTTCTAGTAGATGACCAGCTTATAGACTGTAATAGCCTGTTTTGTAAAGCTGATTTATTAGTAAACTGAGATTAGTTGATATTATGTCACTGGAATGTGCTTATTTTGTGTGAACAGAGCTTCCTTTCTAACCATGCTAAATGTATTGTGCATGTTGCTGCCACTGAGATACTGTAAAGTCCATTTCACATGGTTCCTAAGGCCAGTATACTGTGAACAGGCCATTTTTTTCCCAGCATGTCTAGGTTTCAGGTGCTTCGTGCAATTCTATTAGGACGCCTCATTTGCATGGACACAGCCACTCGTCATAATGACAGGCTTGCAGGTGCTGGTGAGTGGCTCCAAGTACACACTGTCTATATACTGGGCTGCTCACCTTCACGTCCATCACATTAGGATGAGCGGCTGTTTCCTAATGGACTTCTATGTGCTGCACCTGGAGTCTAGTCACACTGCAAAAACATGGCCCATTCATAGTATATGAACATGTGTGAAAATTATGTAACTGCACTGCGTGCCAAAAAATCCAAATTCTGAACCATAAAACAAACAGTGAAACAATAACTGCACTCAAAATACCAATACAAATACTCAGTAAGTGATATCCAGTTGTTGCGCTATTGATTAAAAAAAAAAAATACTAAGTGATTTACTTATACTTTAAATGTGCTCCTACCAGTAATAAGTCAAAATGCATGAAATCCCAAACAATGAAAGTCTTTTGATGCCAAAATCCCGATTATGATGAACAGCTGTGTCCACAAACATCCTCCACGTGTGTAGTGAAATAGACTCTCGTGCCCAGCACCAAAAAAACACAAAAAAAAAGAAATTAAAAAAAGAAAAAAAACCACAAACTTCAGAGACAAAGGAGCATGTACGTGAAAAATGACACTGGTGCCGGCTCCAGACATTAGCTTAATCTCCGCCCAGCCCCGACATACGTTTCGGCTCAATAGACGTTATCAAGGGGATCAGGTGACTGTGCTGACATGCATGCTGAGTTTAAATATACACATATGAGTTCACAATGACCGCACCTACACTACAACTAGTATTAAGCTCCAAATTAAAAAATTTAAATAAAAAAAAATACTTATAGTACGACAAACACTGCTGAATAGATGGGGAGAAATCTTATACTGAACATTTAATAAATATTTTATAAAATCTAACCACAATACCATCTGAATGCTAACTCCTCCCAGTGGTGGAAATGATGAAAATCCTACCACATTATTGTCTGAGTATTAACCCCCCGACCCCCCCCCCGAGTGGTGAAAAATGAAATGACCATTCTGCCTAGAAAGTACCATTGCACCTGGCTTCAAGTTTCATAACATGAAATCAAGATAAATAATCCCACCAGTTAAAGTGTAAGTGCATAGTATACAGTCTCCATGCTTACGTGAATACGGTATAAGCTATGTGTTTACTACTGCTGCAGGTCATTGAGGTGACTTGACATGCTGTATCTTCTTCACTAACAGAAGTTGAGAGTAGTACTAGCTGTAACTATTTTATCTATACTATGCAATAGCACAGAACATTTTCATTTTAGGGTCGCTAAAGCAGCATCAACCACCACCACACACATTATAGTTAAGCTATAGGCAACACTTTTTTCTTCATTTTGGAAGCGAGGGTTACAGTATAACCCCTGTCAATTTTATTTTTTGCCATCTGTGTCCCATTTGAGAGATTTACCTTCACTGCCTGTGCCATAGCCGAAACAGGAAGTAAAAAAATCCCCTGCAAATTAAGGGAATTCCCTGTGGACGCCCAGACCACCAGAAATATTGTCCGCATTGGAAGATATCCCCACTATTACTTTTTTGGGGACAACCCAAAATGTTCAATGATAATAGTAAACAGGACCAATAGAGAGGGGGAATCTCCTTAATGGGGACACAGACTGCACTAAAAAACTGACAAGTGTTATAATCCCTCTCCACTCTATCCAAAACTAAAAAAAAAAAAAAAGTTTTGCCTTTTAGTTATACGTTCAAATATAGTGTGTGTGTATATAGTTATATTTACTTTGATAATTTTTCTTAAATCTGCAGATATCTTAATGAACAGCAGAAGTCCAGAAACACATATTTTACTTAAAGTAGGGGATTTAAAAACAAAAAACACACATACCTACTTGCTACAACATCAGTGCAATTCTGAAAGCTGTCCCCCGCTGGCTCTAAGCCTGAGAACTGACTGATCACATGACTGTGGGTTGCTCAGTTCTCTGTCTTCACTGAGCAGAAACTGGTGATTATTAGTCACCGGCTCTCTGGTATACTCCTCTAATGCTCACTGGAGCGCTGGGCAGGAGAAGGGACCGGAACGCCTGGCTGAGGCTCTCAGCGGTGTGCTCAGTCGTTGAGCCAGGTGGATCCCTACATTATTGTTGGGATCCCTACAGAGTCTGGAGTGGGACTGTGATGTCAGCCGACAGCAGGCTTTAGCAATCTGTCGACTGGTTCTGGGTCATGGGTGAGCACAAGTAAGTGCACTCATGTCACCCACATGAGAAGTATGGCTCAAACAGGCCATGGTGGTTGAGTGCATTACTTATTGATTTTTTTTTTTTTCTTAAACAATTGTACCTGCTAATTCCAGGTTGTTCTGAAGCTCTCTGCAAGAAGTCCTTGGACAACTCTTCTGATATTTCTTTTCACTCCTTTGACAAAAATCTTGCAAGGAGCACCTGGTCGTGGCCGGTTTATGTTGACATTATATTCTTTCCACGTCCTGATTAAGGCCCCAACAGTTCTCACTGGAACATTCAGAAGTTTAGAAATGCTTCTGTAACCAATGCCATCAGTATGTTTTTCAACAGTAAATTTGTGAAGGTCTTGAGAGAGTGCTGTTACTCCTCATCATGAGATGTTTTTTTTGTGCAACACCTTGGTTTTAAGACCCCTTTTTATAGGTCATCAGTTGAGACTGAACCAGCTGATATTAATTTGCGTGGACAAGGGGCAGGATTGCTTTCTAATTACTGATAGATTTCAGTTGGTATCTTGGCTTTCCATGCCTTTTTGTACCTCCCTTTATTCATGTGTTTAATGCTTTTTCCCTGTGTCATTCCATTTTATTACACAACATAATTTTTTAACTTCTTTGTTTTGGCTTCTTTATATGAATAGATTGCATGGGTTGTTACCGACATGTGGTGAAAATTTCATATCAGTAGCACCTTTAGAAATACATTTACCAAGAAAAATGGTGACTCGTTTAATACTTATTTTACCCGCTGTATGTTGTATCTTTTTCTACTTGCTAGAGAATGATATTTGCAAAAAAAAAAAAAAAACTGCATATGTTTAAAAAGGAAAAAAAATAAAAGGATAAAATGGCCAAATCGGAGTCAGTTAGGGTTGGGGTCAAATTAAGGGTGCACGATCATGCTCAGTCATTGTCACGGATACCGAATGTTGGTATCCTGTGTAATGTAAATGTAAGATTCAAGTAGTTGAGATGTGATATGTAGAAACATATCGTAGATTTAGTTTCATTCCATGTTATTAAAGATGTATTCAGAATTCAGCCAGAGACATATGGTTGCCAATTAGCATCTGAAAGGACAGAGCAGCTTCTAGGCTGGAGTTGACACTTGACACAATAAGACTTGTCACCTACGTCTTCAGACTTTGGCGCCTTCTAGAAATCTAAGAAGGAGAACTCTAGACATTTCGTCTGCAGAGGCAGCTGGAGACCAAGAGAGGGCTACGACCTGTCTGTCAAGCTCTGAGGTATATCAGCAGATCAAAGGAATATATTTCATCTCTCATAAAAGCTAAAATGTTAGTTGCAGAGAGATGAAAATACTTCCTTCTGATTGGACACACTGTAGGCTACATCTGCATGTAAACCTGTATTTGTAGCCTCTGTAGAATCCCAGAGAAACGCAGAAAATGGTTATCTGGCACCTGATTGCGACAGCTGAACAGTGATTGGTACTGTCGCGATCGGACAGATGCGCTGGTGTTGGAAATTCAATCCCTGACTTGGTGATTCAAACCGTTCTTGGTCCAATCGACTTTGGGCATTTGAGTACCCAGAACATCCTGGGGGCTGGTACAGGAACACCCCCCAGAGTTGATTGGCCAAGGGCTAATGTCCAGCCTACGTCCATATTCCCATAAATTGAGGACCTGAGATATGGATGGTGTGATTCGTATGGAGCCGGTTCTATTGACTGGCGGATCGCGGACTTTCTCTTACTTGCTCCAGTCGCAGGATAACTCTTGGTAGAAGTTTTATTTCTGTTTTTATTCC